TCCATCCATCCTCCCCTTTCTTTTTCTTTCTCATTCTCCTCTTCCTCCTCTTTCTTCCCTTTCCGTGCATTGGTGTTTTGCCTGTGGGCATGTCTGTGTGACAGTGTCAGATCTTGGAGTCACAGATAGAAGCTGCACATGGGTGCTGGGATTGAAAGAGCAGTCAGTGCCCTTAACTGCTGAGCCATCCCTCCAGCCCTCCAATGCTAGCTTTCTTTATGGAAATATTTCATTTTGTGGTCAGTGGGTCAAAGGATCAAAAGCTTGGAGGCTGACTGGCACTCGCCAGCACCATGCTGGATGTTAGCAGGATCTGCTCCCTCGCAGTATTAAGGACCCACCAAAAGATGTCTCTGTTTCCTTAAAACAAAACAAAGTAGTTTGACGTGGAGCCAGATCCTCAAAATCAACCTCCTTGTAAGCTTTAATTTGTTAAGTGACTTGGGAAGTAAGAAATTATGTGAGTTGAAGGAAAACCCCAAGCCAGAGCTTTCTGGCCTTCATGAAACGAAAGGCGTTTCGACCTGAACCGTTATTTATTCAGGTCTCCCTGACTCTGACATTATGGGAGGTGGTGGGGACAAGAGATGGGAGAGAGATCTTCTAGAATGAGACAGACCTTCGACCAGGACTTAGTCTTTCTCTGCATAGCTATGTATCCTTGTGAGCTTTGAGATTCACTTTCCTCTTTTATGGAATGAAGCAACACTGAGTCATTCCGGCGAGTCACTTGGCACCTGAAGCAGCTGCTGCTGTTACTGCTGTTGTAGTTTGTACTGTTTCATGCTCCCCCAGAGCAATGCTTCTCAACCTTCCTAATGCTGCGACCCTTTAATACAACTCCTCATGTTGTGGTGACCCCAACCATAAAACTATTTTCATTGCTACTTCATCACTGTAATTTTGCTACTGTTATGAATCTTTTTAAATTTTTAAAAAAGATTTTATTTATTATGTATACAACATTCTGCTTTGATGTATATCTGCACATCAGAAGAGGGCACCAGATCTCATAACGATGGATGTGAGCCACCATGTGGTTGCTGGGAATTGAACTCAGGACCTCTGGAAGAACAGTCAGTGCTCTTAACCTCTGAGCCATCTCTCCAGCCCCTGTTATGTATCTTAATATAAATATCTGATATGCAGGATATATGATACGTGACCCCTGTGATAGGGTTGTTTGATCCTCAAAGGGGTTTCAACTCACAGGTTGAGAACCAGTGCTCTTGTGAGATTCTATGGCTCATGGATATTCTTGTACTTGTATGGCTGGTGTTTCAGTGTGCCACTCAAGAGCTCCTCCCAGTTTAGCTTGGGAAGGGAGAAGTTCTTGGTCTTTCCATATGCCTGAAGGAAGCCTGACAAAGGAGATATTTTAGCCCTTGTGGGAACATTAGGGGCCCAACAGTGTCAGCACTAGTGGCTTCTTGCTGGTTCCTGCCTCCACCAGGCATCTTATCTACTGCCGGTTGACTCCTCCCCGCTCTGCAGACATGGGCAACTTCGTTCCACTTTCACCCCCCCCCCCACACTTGGAGAAGGTCCAAATGACTTCTGGAAGATTGCACAGCTCAATAGTCTGGTAGTCACAAGTTAGACCTGGGCCTCTGATATCAAAGCTCAGTGGCACTAACTCTTCATGTCCTCTGGCCTCTGTCACTGGCTGAGTGTAACCCTGGGATGGATGGTGTGTTTGGCAGTGCTTCTGAAGATGTTTCTCAGGATGGGAGGCTTCCATGTATTTGGTCCTCCTGCAGAGGGCTGGTTTGGTATTTGCTTTATGTTCTTCGTCCCCTCCCTGTCATGTCTTTAATGTACAGGAGGCCTGAAGTATTATTCTGTGCATATACTAACAGCATATAATTTCATGGAGTCAAACAAGCAATTCTTACCTTGGCTTTTGCTAACAGACATGCCCTTGTTAGCAAGAGGAGTGAACTGCTTCAGGAAGAATTGTTCTTCTGTTGGGATTTTGTATGTCAAACATAAATCACTTCACAGTGTTTAAAGGCTTGACATATTTTCCAGAATGGGGTCTGACACACTGACTTTCCAGTTAGCCGAGGCCTAACAGTCTCGGCTCAGAATGGAGTGGAAAAATTTCACTGAGGGCAACATTTTTTATCCATTACAAAAGAGTAGAGTGTTTCTGTGACAAGTGCTGTGTGTGAGGAGGAACTGTGCCTCACTGTGCCCTTTTCCTAGAGACAGCGAGCCAGGGTTAGCAGAAGTGAGATTGGAGAAAGCAGCCTTAGGCACATCCCAGGTCAGTCTCTCCCAGGCAGGCCAGGGAGTGAGCAGATATAGCAGATTCACAAAATCAATTCAAGTCCTGAACCCTGTGACCTGTCTTGTAGTCTGCCTCTGCTGGCTTCCCTTCCTCTGCCTGCTAATATGATAATAGGGCTGGCCATCGCCCTGAGGACACTGTGGTTTCAGGTCAGGCCTGAGAGTCTTTCTTGGGAACCTTGAAGACTATAAAACCAGTCCCTGTCCCTTGCCCATCCTTCTGTCCCATTTCTACTCCAGGGTGCTTGCTCTCCCTGCGACCAGTGTCCTCTTCAGGCTGGAAGATCTGGACTCTGGGGTTAGTTGCAGTTAAAGCCAGGTAGTACTAGTACATGAAGGTGGCGTTTGTGAAGTAGTGCTGAGCTTCTAAGAAATAGCCTCATCAATCTTAGACTTCCTGTCAGGAACGAAGGTGGCGTGTGGGGTAACACCTGCTATGTGCTTTCTCTTACAATGTTAGCATTTCTCACTTTATCTATGAGGAAACAGGATGACATACCCAGGATAACACAGCTTGAGAGTGACAAGATTTTAATCTGGGTTACTTGACTTCAAAGCCTTTGCTCTTCATACTGGACCAGCCTTTCCCAGCCTTAGCACTGCAGGGTGGCTATTCCTTCAGAGTAGGGCTTGGGGCTGGTAACACCTCAGAGTTTGGACTTTCCCCCTCATATTTTGGAGAATTCACATAGGCTTTGCCAGTCAAACATCTCTAATAAACCTTCAAATATCCAGGGGCTGGAGGAATGGCTACGCAGTTAAAGCTGCTTCTTCAGAAAGTCCAGGTTTTGTTCCCAGAACCCAGACGACGACTCACAACCATTTTGGAACTCCTGTCCCAGGGGACCAATGCCCTTTCCTGGCCTCCTTGGGCCTGCACACATGTCCAGGCAAACACCCATGCACATACTACACATAACAACAAAAACAAAGAACAGCCAAAGGCTCTCAGTTCACATGTGAGCATTTTGTATTAGTATTTCAGAGCAGGCTGCTTGTTCCTGTAAGGCTGTCCTGTGCATTGTGGCATGGTTAGGAGCATCCCAGTTCCATCTACCAGGTGCCAGTTGTTCCCCCTCAGTTATTATTGTTATTATTGTTTTCCAAGACAGGGTTTCATTGTGTAGTTCTGCCTCTCCTGGAACTCACTCTGTAGGCCAGGCTGGTCTCGAACTCATGGAGCTCCATCTGCCTCCCAGTTATTATTACTAATAATTATTGTTAAAGACCCCAAAACAAAAATGACTCTAGACACCGCTTAATAAATGCCCGTTGTGGACTCACGTGAGTTGAGGGCTCTGCTATTCTGCTATCCTGCTTTCTTAGATATAGTCCCTGCCCCCCCCCCTTTTTTTTTTCATGACTGGCTGGAGAGATGGTTCATTGATTGAGAGCACTTGTTGCTCTTGCTGAGGATCTGGGTTCAGTTCCCAGCACCCACATGGAGACTCACAACTGTCTGTAACTCCAGTTCCAAAAGATCCAGTGCCCTCTTGTGACTTTCATGGGCACTGGGCACGCATGTGGTGAACAGATGGGTGCAGGCAAAACCCTCACACACATGAAATAAAATAGGTTCTGTAGAAAATATGATTCACCTCCAGAAAGCTTATGCTTGGTATGCTCATGCAACGTTACTCAGGGTGTTTTCATGCTCAAAGCTGGCAGTTTAAGGAATGCTGGAATGGGGCCTGGCATGGTGCTGCACACACACCTAAATTCCCAGGTCCATAGGAGCCTGAAGAGGAGGACCACTGAGTCCAGGCATCCGAAGAAAACAGAAGAAAAGAAAAGGCAACACTGCCTTGGCCGTGATTGAGATACTGTATTTCTCCTTGTGATTCTGTTTTTCTGGCTTCTTCCTTGCAGATCTACAAAGGATTCCTCCTGTTTCACTGTCGTCCTCAACAACCTCCGAGTGTTTCTCATATTTGACTGGCTGCTGTTGGTCCACGACTTCCTGCACACTCCCAGTGATCTTAAGAAACAAAATGCCACTCCCGCACGCCACCGCAATGCCAGCAGCGAATCTGCTGTCATTCCCAAAACCGTTAAGAGTGGAGTAGTCACCAAGCGTTCTTCCCTCCCCGTGTCCAATGAGAGGCACCTGGAAGTCAAGGTCAATGTAACAGGTGACTGTTCATAGTGTGCGCCACTGTTTGTTAGTTTGGATGTTAGCTCAGATCTTCTCTGAGCCAGCCATACCTTCCTTATTTTTTGAGACTGGATCTCACATAGACCAGGCTGGCCGCAAACACTAAGGTCTACCTACTTCTGCCTTCTGGGTGCTGGTATTAAAGTGTTTTTCATTTTAGAGGTGGGACTCACTCTATCACAGGCTGACCTGAGATTTGCAGTAGTCCTCTTGCCTCAGCCTCTGTCTCCCAAGTGCTGGGATTGTTGGTATAAATCACTGTATCTAGCTTCATACTGTTTTTGGATGAAAAGCCATTGTGAGTGAATCTTCCGGACACAGATGAGTAGAAGAAGTCTGTCTGCACTCACTCCCAGTGGCCGCAGGACATCAGTGGCCTGCACTCTTGTGGGCAGTGTGAACAGCTGAGCAAAGCTGTCGTAATACCCCATGCTGCTTGACCAACACATCTGACGACTCTTCCCTGGGTTCTAAGTCCTCTGAAGATGGGATGCTCTTCTTAACTTCTGAGCATCTTTTGGACTTCCCACAATGATGAGAATGTCATTTCTCTGTCTTGAACATGCATATATTGAACAGAGGAGCTACATTCTACTCCTTTCTGCCAGGCCCTGCTCTGTTAATTAGCTGTGCTTGTCAGGTTCTGAGTCTGGGACGGCAGTGAAGGAGGACACCGGGAGTTCACCTGGTGCAACTGGGCCACTTGTGTTGGGACAGCCTGCTGATGCCAGCTTCCTTGCTTGCCTTGACTGATGCTGCTGTCCTTTGCAGGCACGGAGTTTGTGGTTGTTGAAGATGTGTCCTGCTTTGATACCAATGCCATTATTCTTAAAGGCACCACAGTGCTCACCTATAAGCCCCGCTTTGCCGATCGCCCCTTTTCAGGAAGTTTGTTTGGCATTGAGGTAAGTTTGTATGTTGACCATGGCATTGCAGAGGGCTCTGGAGAGAAGCATCTAGAAAAGTATTTACTCTTGTTGTGCAAAAGTTTTTGCTCTTTTGACTTTTTGGATTCTTTGAGGAGCCTACCACCCAGCTCCCAAATAAATCACACATGGAGGATTATTCTTAGTTATAAGTGCCCAGCCTTAGCTTGCCTTGTTTCTTGCCCACTTTTCTTAACGTAAATTATCCCATCTATCTTCGGCCTTGGGGCTTTTATCTTTCTCTATTCCCGCAAACCTTTCCTTTCCTCCTTACTTTGTGTCTGGCTGGGTGGCTGGCGCCTGAAGGCCACCTCCTTCCTCTTTCTTAGCCCAGATATCTCCTCATATTTATCCTCTCTGCCTGCCAGCCCTGCCTATGCTCTCTCCTGCCTCACTATTGGCTATTCAGCTCTTATTAGACCATCAGTTGTTTTAGACAGGCACAGGAACACAGGCTCACAGAGTTAAACAAATGCAACATAAGCAAAAATAACACACTTTAAAACAATGTTCCCCAACAGCCTCTTGAATGCTTTTTTTTCCATTGCTAGAAATGGAAGTAAGTGAGGGCCATGTGAATGTTTAGGCAAGCACTTTGCCACCACGCTACATCCTTATCCTGTCCCCTTTTTATGTCAAACTGTTTGTTAGGCCGGACCTCCAGAGCTTTTGAGTCAGTAGGACTGGGAAAAGACCCAAGACTCTGTCTTTATAAATATGTGTGTGTATAATATATATAGTGTGTTTGTTATGTGGTAATTTATATATATGGCTATATAGTGTATATAATTTGTAAATATATATGCAAGTGTAGATATATGTAATATGGTACAATTTATATATACACATATAGTGCATCTATATGATTAAAATAGATATATAGTATATGATATATAGTATATGTGTAGTTTATATATACACAAACATATGGTGTCTATCATTTACATATTTGCATATATAATGTATGTGATGGACATACACATATATAGTATGTATGTGATTTATATATAATATGGACATACTGTGTGAGTATAAGGGAGTGAGTGGTGTATGTGCGCGTGTGCGTGTGTTTCTTTGGATTAAACCCAAGGCCTTATGCATGTTAGGCAAACACTCTACCAACTGAGGTAAGCTACATTCCCTGATCAACTCAGTTCTTTTCTGTTTTGATTGTCTTAGTTGCCTGGGCTAGCCTTGATCTTTGGATCCTTTTGTTTTAGCCTCTGGAGTAGCAGGGATTATAGACCTATGCCACCGCATCCATCATGGCATCCTGAGCACGTCTATAGGGAAACATTCAGTGAAGGGTTTAATCGGTGATTCACCCATACGTAAGCAGATAGGATTCGGGTGTTTTATTAGGGAAAAATATCTTACTTACGTTTCACCTAACCAACCTGCAGGAAAGCAGAGCAAGTTGAAGCAACAGGGAGAAGAGAGCTACCATGTGACTTACTTTAAACCTTTTACATGTCACCCTGACATCACCTTGACCTCACCCTGATGGGCGTGGTCAGGCATACCCTTAGCCAGCCCTTAGGAGGCGTGGTTCCGGTATCTCCCTACAATTCCCCTTTTAGTCTAGAAGAGGATTAAAACTTAACAGTGTAATGTATCCAAAATTAGCAATCCTAAAGGTGAAATACAAGAAGGTACAATAATCTGCTATTATACATCCTAACTATGTCTATATAACTAAAGCCTAAAGTCATCTGAAAGAGGTGTCCAAGCCTGAACACCTCCTTCCAATCCCAACCATAAACAATAGAAAACTATCCCTAACTAGGTGTACATTATCCCTAGTGACAACAATGGGGGAAGAGGGTGTAGCATTCTCCAAGTTACTTCCTGCTGAAATGGGACAGTGATAGCCATGTGGGGTCCTGTAGGAAGAAAATGTTAGTATAGTGAAAGTCTTGAATGGATTGTATCCAGTCCATGTTAGATGGGATTCGCTTGATTGAAGATCTCACTTGAAATCCTCAACTTGATTGAAGTCAGTACCTGAAGCTCGGTCGGAGTGTCAATTGAAATGGAGCAAGTTGGATCCAGTGCAGTCGAGGAGGTGTGGACCATTTTCTTTCCAGGGTGTCCAAGGATTGCTGTCAGGCAGGTCTTCATTGGCTGTGTGGGACTCAAACATAAATGTTATCAGAGAAATATTTGCTTGTGTAAGTGTGCATGCTGGGAAAGGCAACCATGGGAGAATAACAATTATGAGAGGGTGTACACCTTGAAAGAAAGAGCCAAGAAAGACAAAGACAGTCCCCAAATTCCTCTCTCATTCTGTATTCTGTATTGTTTAGCTAAACAACGTGCTTGGATTTTAGAAGAGGATAGCCAAATCCACCTCTAAAGCCAGCATTGAGTTAATTGAATGGGGATTAGGAGACAAAGAGAAAAAGGCGTAGTGGAAATTGTCTTATGACCAGATTTCTTTTGTTTAATGGGTATAGTTACCTATGCTCTTTTACCTATGCAGTGTCCTTTGATTTCTGGAAATGAATTTTCCTCTGAAAAGAAAAACAAAACACTCCCTTTTCCTTTATGAGGTTTCTATTCGGTTTATGAGATATACCTTCATGGTATATCTGATTACCTGTCATTTCTCCTTGTCAAGAGGATTTTCTTTTTCACCTCAAATCTTGATCAACTTTGATGGTATCCAAAGTTTTTCTTCTCCTGTGGAAACAAATGCAAAACCCCTTCCGCAATGTAACACATGTCCTGGTTTCCATACAGAGGTTGGTACATCTTTGAAGTATACTGGCAGATTCAGTTCAGCAGTTTTTTCTGTAGTCCAGTGTCTTTCCGTGGCTGTTTGTCCTTTCTCATTGGCATTAAAAAAGTTTAGTGTCAATAAAGCATTATGCAACCTATGTTTGGGATGTTTTGACTTCTCATCCTGTCTATGGAGAATCTCCTAAAGTGTCCTATTAGACCTCTCAACAACTGCTTGTCCTGTAGGATTGTGTGGTATACTTGTGACATGCTTTATGTTATAATATTTGAAAAACTGTTCCAATTTAGTGGAGACATATGCTGGAGCATTGTCAGTTTTTATTTGTGCAGGTATACCCTTAACTGCCATCACCTCTCGTAGGTGTGTAATAAAAGAATCAGCTTTTTCAGAGTTGAGAGCAGTAGCCCATTGGAACCCTGAGAATGTGTCAATGGTATGATGCATATTTCAAATTTCCAAATTCTGCAAAGTGAAAGACATCCATCTGCCAAACCTCATTTCTCTGAATGCCCTTAGGGTTACTGCCTGCTGGCAATGGAGTTTGATTATAAAAGGAACAAGTAGAACAGTTTCTCACTATCTCCTTGACTTGTTGCCAAGTGAGGGAGAAGTCCCTTTTCAAACCTTTACTATTTACTTGGTGTTTCTTATGAAATTCTGAGGCTTCTAGCACACTTCCAATTAATAAATGATCAATCTCATTATTGCCTTGTGCTAGTGGGCCTGGAAGACCTATATGGGATCTGATATGAGTTATATATAAAGGATTAGTTCTGTTCCTGATAGTGTCCTACAATTGTATAAACAGTGAAGTTAATTCTGTTTTGTCAGGAAAGAATTCTGCAGTCTCAATGTGTAACACAACTCTCTGCATATTGAGAATCAGTAACTGTATTAAGAGGCTCTGTGAAATCCATAAGTACCATGAGAATTGCATATAATTCTGCCTTCTGTACAGATGTATATGGACTTTGAACTACTTTACTTATCTCACCTGCTTTATAACCTGCCTTACCTGGTTTGTGGGCATCAGTGTAGAAGGTAAGAACTCCAGAAATGGGAGTTTGTCTTACAATACGTTGAAGAATCCAGACTGTCTTTTTTATGAATTTAATTCTGTAAGTTTTGGGATAATTGTTGCTAATCATTCCCAAAAAGTCAGTACATCAGTAAGAGCTATTTGCCAATATTCATTGTCCTTCCATAAGGAAGAAATTTCCTCATTAGTTAAAGGTACTATAATGTCAGTTGATGAAGTCTTAATTTGCCCTTTAGAATCAAACCAGAAATCCTTTCTCTGTATGTCTTTAGCTTTGTATTCTGTTTATGTGGCAGAAATATCCACTCCAATATTCCCTCTGCATCAGAATCCCAGAAGGGTATTCTCTAGATGGCAAGATGACCAGAATGCAGTCTAGATTAGAGTTTATATGATCTACATGTGCATCCAGAATCCTACTTTTGACTCATTGTAATTCTTTTTCTGCCTCAATGGATAATATGCGTGAACTATTTAGGTCCATATCATCATTATTTAGGGCCATTTTTAAATGCTTTAAGTCTTGTTCTTCTACACCAATAATCGTCAGTAGTTGAGAAATTTCTCCTAATAGTTTCTGAAGAGAATTAAGGGTTTGATAATGATCTCTCTTAATTTGTACCTTCTGGGGCCTGGTTCTTTGTAAGTCTATCTTGTAACCTAAATAATTAATAGAATCTCCTCTTTGTATCTTTTTCAGGGCAATCTGTAACCCCCAATGAGGCAAAACTTCCTTTACCATTTCAAACATACCTTCCAATGTTTCCTTATTAGAATCTTATAAAAGAATGCCATCTATATAATGGTAAAGAAGAGATTGTGGAAATTTCTTACGAATTATTTCCAAACGTTGCTGTACAAAGTGTTGACACAAAGTAGGACTATTGAGCATTCCTTGTGGCAAAACCTTCACTGATATCTCCTAACTGGCTGTGAATTATTAAGAGTTGGTACAGTAAATGAAAATTTTTCTCTGTCATTTTCTTGTAATGGTATTGTGACAAAACAGTCTTTTAGATCAATGACTATGATAGGCCATCCTTTAGGAATCAGGGAAGGCAATGGCATTCCAGGCTGCAGAGAGCCCATTGGCTGAATTACCTTATTGATAGCTCTCAGGTCTGTCAGCATTCTCCACTTACTTGACTTCTTTTTGGTAACAAATACAGGAGAATTCCAAGGGCTGGTAGATTATAT